CCCCAGCACCTGGCAGTGCATTACAGCTGGCAGGGCTCAGGGGGCTGAATGTAGCCATGGCAGGGCGCAGGGCTAAGGGTCCAGGCATTTGGCAGAGGCAGGGTGGGAGTGGGGAGCAAGGCTCATGGGGTGGAAAGGTTTTGGGCAGCAGGGGTACGGAGCGTGCGGGGTGCAGGAGTGCATCACACTCCCACGTAGCTGTTCTTGTAGGGGCTGTGCTCATGGGGGGCAGCTGGGGCCCCAGGCATCAGCGATGGTGGGTGGTTGCTCCCCTCCCAGAGGGGCTCGTAGACCTCCTTGGAGGGCAGCTCACTCACGTAGCAGATATTCTCGCTGTAGTTGGGTTTGAAGCTCTCCACAACGTCTTTGGGGACTCCAGCCCATTCCTCCGGGGAGCAGAGTGGGGTGAGAGGAGCCACCACCCAGCCCAGCCCCAATCCCATGGGGCAAGGGGTGAGCCCAGGGCAGGGTTGCCCACAGCCACCTTACCTGGAAGTTGCCGTTGTGGGTGATGAAGAGCTCAGTGAAATTCTTGCTGGGGTTGGGGATGCGGGGCATGAGGATTACCCACACCCTGCACAGAAGAGATGTGTCAGAGGGGAAGAGCCCCAGCTCTGCTGCCCCTGCCAGCCCCTTATGCTCACCTTTCCATGCGCACCAGCAGGATGACAAGGACCACCAAGAGCAGGCAGGAGGCAATGGGGATCAAGACCGTGTGGATCCAGAACCAGTGCAGCTGCTCCTCCGCCATGCCTGGAAAGATCCAGGGTGACATGGACACCCAGTCAGTGCGCTGCCACTGCTGCTGGTGGCCCTTCATGGGTGGCCATGGAAGCTCATCATTGTCCATGGCACGGCTCAGCTGGGAGTGGAGGATGGAGAAGGGGCCATCCCCAAGCCCTGCCATGGTGTCACCACAACTGGCTGGTGACCCTGTCCTGGACTGGCTGTGCCAAGGCTAAGAAATACCCCTGGCAAAAGTCAGCACATCCTGCTGGTAGGGGGTGTTTGGCTTCCAGAAGTGCAGAGGACACAGGGGTCGATGCTGCTGCCTGCAGCCCAGGCACCGAGATGGGTCTTGCACCTACAGTTGCTGCCTCACGCCAGTTTTCCATTTGCTTGGCCATCCCCCACCTGCGGAGCCCCACCATGCCCCAGCCTGTCCCATCCCACCGCAGCCCCGAAACCTACCCTTGCTGGTGGAGTTGCTGCCCCAGGCCACGGGGATGCTCCACTCACTCCAGAGCTGGGTGTTGCCACAGTAGCGGTTGATCTTACTGCGCACGTAGAAGGTGTAGTACTTCTCATAGTCCACACTAGGGAAGGAGAAGACGTCTCCGTTCACTCGGTGTTCCTGCAGAGAGACATGGGCCATGCAATGAGGGCCAGCACTGCTGTAGAGGCTGGTGCATGGCTCATCCCCAGGCACAACTGCGAGGGTGCAGCATCCGGGGGGACTCGCACCGTCCAACTTGTGTCCTTGTTGCTCTTGTACTTGACAGCGTGCTCCAGGCAGTGGGCTGTGGGGTATGGGGAGGTCCAGGTCAGCTGCAGCTGGTTGCTGCTCATGTTGCGGATGGTCAGGTTGACGGGTGCCTCCGGTTTCACTGCAAGGCACAAGTGATGCCTGGTGAGTGCCATTCCCATGCCCTGGTTGCCCCATGGCCAGCCAGAACATGGTGGGGCAGCCCTGCAGACCCACAGTCCTGCAGAGGAGAGTGGGTGCCCCCCCCAACAACTCCTCCATACCCAGGTCCTGCAGCTCCATGTGCTTGCTGGGGATCTCCAGGGTCTTGCCACCAAGGCTGGCATTGACGAGGACACGAAAAGGATGGAACTGGATGATCTCACTCCGGTTGAAGTGGCAGCCGGCGCTGATGCCCCGGTCCTGCAGGTAGTGCTTGCACTCCACTACAGGGGACCTGTTCTCATACCTGTGCCACAGCAGGTTACTTCCTGAGACCCTGCACACCCCGGCCCTCCCTGGGACCCCTCTCCCTGGCACATCCCATTCTGCCTGTGCCACAGACAGAGCCACCCTGGGCTCAGGGAAGAGGAGCAGGCTGATGCGAGGACCAGCAGTGCTGACAGGAGCCTCCTGTGCAGGAACCCGCTGCTAGACACTCTGCTGTGGGGCTGGCCGTGAGGCAGGGGCACCTACCAGTAGTAGAGGGAGTAGTTGGCCTTGAGCATCTCTCTGCTTCCCCATGTGCAGGTCATGTACTCCTCGTTGAAGACGACACACTCCACCCCTGCAAGCGGGAGACACTGCTGGGCACTGCAGAGGTGGGTGGCTGTGCCAGGGCCCAGGGGTGCACCAGGGAAACATGACAGATGGCAGGGGTCCCTGTACATCCCCATCAGCCTGCCTCCATGAGAGCTAAACAAGCCCAGCTCTTCCCAGCGGAACTGCAATGCAGCCTGCCCTGCAATGCCAGGCCCCCCACCACCCCATTCACACATGCTGCGTCGCTGATGCTTGTGCTGCCAGCAGCCCCACATTTTTCTCCAAAGGACTGCCTGCCAAGCAGGCATCCATCCTGCATCCATTCTCTTGCTCCAGACATGCTGTTTTGCCCCAATTCCTCAATCTGCACCCCTTAGTCACCCTGCAGCAGCTGTTTGCAGCCCTGGCACTGTGGGACAGGACAGAAACCCCTCCCTGCCAATCCACAGAATCACAGAATGTTAGAGATT